CGGGATCGGAATTCTCGCAGGGTCTTGCCACTTCCTGCGCTCCCCCGATCCTCTGCATTGTTTTCTCCGGTGCTGGGGTTGTTTTAGCCTGGAGAAAAGGCGGCTCGGGAGTGACCTTATCGCTCTCTGCAAGTCCCTGAAAGGAGGGTGTAGCCAGGTGGGGGTCGGGCTGCTCTCCCGGGTAACGAACGGCAGCACAGGAGCACGGAGTGCTGAGCTGCGCTAGGGCAGGTTTGGGTTGGACAATAGGAGGAATTTCTTCACTCGTTAGGCACCGGAACGGGCTGCCCGGGGAGCTGGTGGAGTCACTGGCCCTGTAGGTGTTTGGGCAACTGGACGTGGCGCTGAGCGCTCTGGTCTGGGTGACAGGGTGGTATTTGGTCACCGGCTTGGACTCGATGATCTCAGAGATCTTTCCAACCGAAATGATTGATTCGTGTCGTGTCCTGGGACTCCTTTAGCCCTTAGAGAGCTGGATAAAGAGCCGTGTGCTTCTCAGATGCCAAAATCCCACTGCGTAGCCTCACTCGCTGGTGCCCTTAGGGCAGGACTTAGAGACGTTCCTTTCCTCAGTGGTGGGCACCACATGGTACTCAGAAAAACACTGGATTTTTGTCATTCTGGGTTTTGTGAGCTAGAGGATCTTGTCCATCCCAGCCTGCTGTCCCTTATGAGTTCTCCTCTTCCTTTCCAGGTATGGCCTCACAGCTGCAGGTGTTCTCCCCTCCGTCAGTATCCTCGAGTGCCTTCTGCAGTGCCAAGAAACTGAAAGTGGAGCCGTCTGTCTGGGATGTTTCAGGACAGAGCAGTAGTGACAAGTATTATACCCACAGCAAAAACCTCCCAGCAGCTCAAGGGCAAGCCAGCTCCTCTCATCAGGTAGCCAATTTCAGCATCCCTGCCTACGACCAGAACCTCCTTCTCCCCGCTCCCTCCGTCGAGCACATCGTGGTCACCGCGGCCGACAGCACCGGCAGCAGCGCCACAGCGTCCTTCCAGAGCAGCCAGACCATCACCCACAGGAGCAACGTTTCTTTGCTGGAACCATACCAAAAATGTGGATTAAAAAGGAAAAGTGAAGAGGTCGACAGCAACGGTAGTGTGCAGATCATTGAGGAACATCCACCTCTCATGCTGCAAAACAGACCTGCGGTGGGAGCTGCGGCCACGACCACCACGGTCACCACGAAGAGCAGCAGCTCCAGTGGGGAGGGAGATTATCAGCTGGTCCAGCATGAGATCCTGTGCTCTATGACCAACAGCTATGAGGTCTTGGAATTCCTGGGACGAGGGACGTTCGGGCAGGTGGCCAAATGTTGGAAACGTAGCACGAAGGAGATTGTAGCCATCAAAATCCTGAAGAACCACCCTTCGTACGCCCGGCAGGGCCAGATCGAGGTGAG